AAAGCCTCAGCAATGGGTGTATTTAGATATTGCACAGAAAACATGGCAAACAGGGCATCTCTAGCTGAAATAAGTGAGTTGCCTGTATGTTTTGAAAGCAGCAAAATTTTAAGACAGCTAAATTTGTTCTAAAAATAAAATTAATTCCTTTCAGACAATGCCTTTTCACACTGAAGGTTCTGTGTTAGGTATAAATACAGTGTCTGCTAAGGAAACAGGATGAGTACAAGTGTCTTTTAGTCTAGCCAGTTAAATCTCACACAATGTTGAGTCTTAAGACTTCCTAAACATTACTACAAAACACAGATGTCCTTTTGTTGTTGGGAAATATCTTGAAATGTGTTAAAAAACCAACACAACTGCACTGTCATCTTTCATTTGATTTTAGAATTGAAGGGAACCAAAAGCCAAGCTCAGAAGAGAATTCCTGAGAAGGATATAACCTCTCTGCTTGGTCTCCCTCCTACATTCTTAAAGGAAAGAATGCATAAGTTGGGGACCAACACTTCCTAAAGAAAAAACATATGGTTGTTTTTCATCCGGGCCAGGGATGTATACAGAGAACAGCTAACTAAATAGAATAACCAGTTCACTGATTCATTTCTTTCAGGACTATTTATCCAAATCAGTAAATAGGTTATTTAAGCAAATGAAATTAAAAAAACCCAAAACACAGGAACACAGCTTCTAATTAGAAACATCACAATTTGATTTTGGTTTTATTGCGGCAATGTGCCATTCTGACCAACCCAATCAAGAGATGGTGGCTGCAGTTTAAATAAACAGTAGTCCTGGGCAGTGAGCAGGTTTCCAGATGTGCTACTCCACATCCCTGCAATCAATAAATAAAAGGAGGAGGACTGTTGGAATGCTAACATTTGTCCAGAAAATTGCTCAAAGAGTTAAAGACATGGATGATAAAAGCAGCTGCACCAGTTCTTGTCATGCTGCCAGAACTGAATGTTTACCTAGTGCCGCATCCCCACCAGATGGGGTAAAAAAAAAAAAAAAAAAAGCAGAAAGTTCCTTTTCCCAACCATTTTGCCATGAAGAAAGGTACAGCAAAGCAGAGCAGATTTATGTGGTACAAGCAGACCCGTGAAGACACATTCAAATAGTTGTGTGTAGGTTTCTTGGCATTTATGTTAGCAGACATTCTGGGGCAGCATCTGCAATGCAAACACTATCCTGTTACTCCACAGTCCATCACCTTGCCTGTCGCTGTATTTATAATTCATGCACTCTGGCCTTACAGCTCGAGCTGCAAGAGGGTCTCTCAATTGGGATGGCTGAGCTTCGGGATTGAATTATGTTCTATTTCTCGACCAAAGCCACAGGTGTACAACTCTGGAAGATGCTGAATGTTCCCAATGATGGATGCTTTGCGTGTCCACATAAATCCACCAGCGTAGAGCAGCGGCCCAGTATCCAATGCCCAGCCGCAGGGAGAGCAGGGTGGAAGTGCAGAAGTGAGGGAAGAGTGATGACAAACCAAGGCAGGAATCACAACCCTTTGTGCAGCCTGCCTAGTGGAACTGGGCACGAGGCAGGCTGCACAGACACAACTCACTGAGCTGAGTCCCAGAAGTCGTTCTGTCCGTCCTTTCCCTCCCCCAGCACGCAGGGAAGATTCTCCACCAACCTGTGATCCAGCCTGAGGAGCGGGTGGAGGATTAGCAGCCAAGGCCAAGGAGTAGCTGGGCCAGAGCCAGGACAGTGCACAGATCACGACTGGCTTCCCTGGGCCTGAGGGGAGCCCTTGCTTGGAAAGCACTTCAACAACCGCCCGCACCCCCACTGCTGGGGCACGTGGTCCCACTGATCCCCCACCTGACCTGTCCCCAGCGCTTATGAGCAGCTCAGCTCTTCATCACTCATGAGTCTCGCACGCCCAGGGCTAAGATCTGCTCTGGGAGAGCACTCCAGTGTGCAGTGAAGAGCACAGAGATCCCTGAGGGCACAGGCACTGTATTCTATGCAGCCACGCTGGCTCCACACTTTACCACATCCCAATCTTTCCCTTGCTGTTATACTCGGCGTACCTGCTGCCAAAACCTGCTGTAAATCTCTAAATGTGCATTGGATGGACACCTCGAGATAAAAATAATGAAAAATTACAGGTCATCCTTCTTCCAGCAGCTTCCCTTACACAGGCTAAAGTAACACAGCAAGAATCCACAGTCACAACTTGATGAAGTGAAAATAAACCTAAGAAAAGCAAGAAATCCTTGATTATGGATAAGGAGACCAGGAAGACAGCCAAACCTAAATTGGGAATCCATTTGTTCTTATGTCTAAGGGTGCTTCTAAGTATGTATTGTGTCTGCTTCCTGGAAAGAACAGGAAGAGTTGGCATAGAATTCTTTAGGAGCAGGATATCATCTCTGAATGCTTCAAACCAGTCAGTGTAGCCTATAAAAATTGATATCCAGACACCAAGAAAAATGGGAGGAGGGCTGGACAGACAGTATTTTGCTCTTGATGGACTTTTCCTGAGTTAACTGCATCTGGATGTGTACCATGATTTTTATCTGTAAAAATCCCCCAAACCTTAAATCAGATGCACCATATATGGCAAGACTCTTCTGTGGGCTGCTAAAGACTACTTGAAAAGACTGTTTGTTACAGCTAATAAAAGCCAACCTCAAAGTGCAAAGGATATTACCTTTTCCTTGACTCATTTTCAAATATAATATGGATGTGGACAATTTCAGACAAGTCTGTTTTTTCCAACACTTTGTGAGGCACTGCTTCCCTACTTGTATTGCATGAGTATTTCTGGATGAACGGTCTGTAAGCAAAGTCCTTCTTACTAGGAATTATCAAACAAACACAAACTAAGAGACTCAGTAGAAATGGTTATGTTAGACAAAGAGCTGGACGTGCCTGCGAGAGTTTCTTTTATAAACATTTAGCAGCTGCTCAAGAACATAAATACTCCAAATGCTTGTATTATCCATTTCAAGATTGTGTCATTCCCACCTTTTTTGCTAGTGTGGCAGGAAATACACCATTCAATGAAACAAGCAATGACTAGCAGCAGCCAGTGTGGTACCACCTGGATATCTACTATGACTAAGGTTCCCATCCCACTTGCATGAAATCAAGTTAAGTTTTGCCACTGATTTCTACTGAAGACTTCCACTTTCCTGTGATTTAGATACATCATGACGAGCATAGTTTTCAATGTATTCTTTGCTGGTATGAATTCAGAACAAGTCCTCAGTGCAACCAGAAGATGACAGCTAATGTTATTTACCAGCCTGGTTGAAAATTATCCCAAATGACACCAGCTGTGGATTAGTCAGGTTGCAAACTGAAGCACAGTAGAGCAGCTACATTTAGCTTGAAGTTACTACTGAACAGCTGCTGCAGAACGCACTTGCTAGTACATTTTAACACTGGCAGGAGAGCATGGGAACTTGTGAGTTAGCTTTACAAGAACATAGCAAATTTAAAAAGGAAGTTTCAAAGTGTTTAATCAGTGCGATATCTACATGTTTAAACACAGGAACTCATAAAACATGCTGCTGTTCTTGTCAGCCACTTATGGCAAAGGTCCCATGCACACTTCATGTATTAATGTCTCCCTGGATTACCTGAAACTCAGATGTCTCCCAACACAGGTAAATATTTTCATTTGGGACTGCTGGATTCAACTGCTGGTTAAATCTCCTGGATTGTGTGGGGTTTTTAGGAACCAGAGGCTAGGTAAAGCCTGTGCTCTGGTAAAACTCTTGGTTACACACCGTGCTAGGCGTGGGGCACAGCTGAGTTCTGCTCCCCTCCCGCTTCCAAGAAGGACAGTCAATAATTGCTGGCTGCATGACACCACTTCTATCAGTTCAGTCTTTGGGTGTTTTGCTCTGTACAGTCCTCACTGACTTCTGCCAGCTTGGACTGAGAGACCAAAGAGACATCAAGACAAATCCAGCCTCAGCTTCTGAAGGAACATTAGGACATCCAAGGCCAAGCGAGTCCAAGTCACAAGTGAGCAGTTTGAGGCTACAGAGTAATAGAAAGCCAGTGTAAAAAACATAAAGCACACAGTTACCCCTAGGAAAGTACAAGACAAATGATACCTCAAGCCTTAAAATTGTGTTTTTCAGCTTCAGCTGTGCTCAGACAGTGGAATACCTGAGCATTGCTGCAATAGGAAAATACAAGCCATAGCTGTTGTCACTGGCACAAGACACTGCACACAGCATGGCAGAAAACAAAACTGTATTCACTTGTCAACAAGTCAGCTCTGCTTCTATTTTTACTGCTAGAAAGCAGGAACAAGTTCTGCAGTAAATTAAATCCATCAAACCATGGGAGACCAGAGACCAGTCCAAAGTATGATGCAGGAAGTCTTTGTTAATAATACTCACACCAAAATCTGAAACCAACATTTTGGTCTTGGACACCTCAAGTGAAAGTGCAATTAATCTTCATAACAAGACTTCACATCCTGTTTTAAATGACAGAACTTGGAATGCATTTGGTATTGTGGTGAAAAGATACGACTGGATGCTGAGCAAAGCAGAATATCAAAATATTGAAATGCAAATTCTTATTTCTTTCCAGGGCTAAGATTTCAGTAAGATTAACTGAGTAGTCCATAGCTGTTTTCTGGCCACTGATGTGACCTTTGTGACATTGATGATGCCAGCATTATACAGGGTTCTACTGCCGTTTAAATTTTGTAGTCATGCATGAAGTTCTTATTACTTAGGTAGGATCACAAATTAATGCAGGGCAAAAATCCATCCACCTAAATCTGTAGTGAGCATTACCAACAGCAGACAACTGGACCTAGGAATAAAATCCCAATTCCCAGAAACCAAATTCCCTTTGACATCAGCTAAGCCCAGCTCTCCCCGCGAAGATCCCCATTCAACACAACTACCCGACCTCCACCCGCCGAAGTTTCAGACCACCATAAAACCATTTATTCTCTGTCCAGAACGCGATGTTTCCCACGGGAGCTCAGCAGAAGAGAAGCTCTGCTGCCTCACCTGCATCAGCAGCCGTGACCAGCAGCAGGTACTGCTCCTTGGCCTCGCGGTCCAGGCTGCGCTCCAGGCGCAGCTCTCCGCTGCCCGACAGCGTGAAGGCTCCCTCCTCATTGCCAGCCACCAGCACGTAGCTCAGCCTGCTGTTCAGCCCCTGGTCGTCATCCCTCGCCACAACCTGCACAAGCAATGCACACAGAACAGGCATCAAGGACTGTGATGTTATATTGGGATAGAGGAAGCGTTCTCTACGGTAATAATCCAAATGAACAGGCTGAATCAATGCAAATGCTACAAGTATAAATTAGCTGTAATTGGAAACAAAAATACTTAACACCATGGTGGTGGATTTAAAAGTGTAGTCTGAAAACACTAAATAGTTGGTTATTTATTTTTCTCAAGTGTAAATACAGTAAGACTGTGTTGGGGCTCAGTGAAAACCTGGTATAAGCTAAGCTGTGTATGAGAGCAAGCACTGCACGTCCTGCTGTTGGATTCCATTTAGCTCTCTCTCAATATTTGGCACACAGCATCATCCCATGTAGGCAACGACCAGATTGAGAGATTTGTTGCATGGAAGTTGAGAATGAGATGAGAGGATAGAGCAGACTCTCAAAGTCCCAGTGGAGGTGTGAGGATAGGCAGAGAAAACACAAACAGAACTCCAAAGAATAATATTAACTTTTGGTAACAAAAAAACCCACCCACCCACACAAAAAAGAAAACAAGACAACAAAGACTGCAAATTCAATTAAAGCCAAGAGGCAACTTCTGCACTGTTTTGCCCTTTTTTAATTTTGAACGAAGGACACTGTGTATTAATACCATGTAGGCATGCTAGTAATGGTCAGAGACACATATATATTGCTGAATAAATGTATGTACCCACCTGAAGGATAACTTTTGGGAGCGTCTCTAAATTCTCGGGGACGTTCACAGAGTAGGGGGAAAGCTCAAAGGTGGGAATGAAATCATTGACATCCTTCAGGACAATACTGACTGTGGTAGTATCAGTCCTGGGGCTGCTCCCACGGTCAGACGACTGAACGGTCAGCGTGTAGGAGGGCTTCTTCTCTCTGTCCAAAGGCTTGGCCACAGTGATCACCCCCGTCACAGAATCGATCCGGAACTCATTGCTGGCATCCCCGCCCACGATGGCGTAGCGGACCTGCCCGTTTGTCCCCTCATCTCCGTCAGCAGCCAACACCTGGATTAAATCCGTCCCTGTCAAGGTATTTTCTGCCACCTCCACCTTGTAAAGCTTCTGGGCAAAGAGCGGGTTGTTGTCATTGATGTCCAGGACGATGACCACCACATCCGCAGACGAAGAAAGCGACGGCTGGCCCTTGTCTGTGGCTACCACGGTCAAGGTGTAGTTGGCCACAGCCTCTCTGTCGAGCTCCCCGGTGAGCCTCACCTCGCCATCGATGGTGCCGATGCTGAACTTGTTTCCTGGGGGCGGGAGCAGGCTGTACTCGATGTAGCTGTTGGGACCGCTGTCGGGGTCCGTGGCCTGCGCTCTGAACACCACCGTGTCTATGGGCGTGTTCTCGGGCACGTAGGTCAGCCGGGGCGAGGTGAAGCTCGGCGGGCTGTCGTTCACGTCCAGCAGGATGATGGACACCTGGGCCGTGCTGGTGTACCTGGAGGCTGGCAGGGGGGCCATGTCGTGGACCTGCACCACGAGGCTGTAGAAGGACTGGCTCTCCCGGTCCAGGGGCTGCCGGATGCTCAGCACCCCGCGGCTGTCGATGCTGAACTGCCCCGCGCTGTCCCCGGACGCGATGCTGAAGGACAGCTGGGAGTTGGGACCTGGTTGGGCAGGGAGAAGAAAGGTAGATAACATGACTTCGTTCCACTGGTACCCCCTAAGTATCAATGTTTCCGGCCTCATTTCCACAGGAAATTTTCCTTCATTTTCCCACAGAAATAAGGACTGTACAACCATGTTGAGTGTTCAGCCTCCTCACCACCACTTTTTGAATCCACCTGTTAATTTCAGCCAAAGTTTCACAGTGCAGCAGAAGCCTTGAAATTGTTATTTTCTGACAAGATAATATACATGAAAGAGAGAGGGAAGATGTTAATTGGAGAGGCCACAGAGGGAACGCTTGGCAGGGTTCATCTCCGTTTTTCACTCAGCAGGAGCTCCACAGTGGCATCACAAGTAATTTTTCCCCATCTACAAGAGTTAGGGATAAAGGATTTGAAGGGTTTTCCTTCAGAAACCAAGACTCAGTCGTTCTCTGCTCACTGAACATCTGGTTTCCTCCATTCTTCCCAGTTCAACTAAGCAATGTTATTATTAATGTAATTATTTCATGAATTTTTCCACTCAATTAAAAAAAGCCACAAGCAGAAACTCCCAAGCCTAGCTGGAGCAAGCCAAGAGTGAATAGTGGGGAAAGGTATGCTTCCCATATAAGGCATGGTATTCCAAAATATCAAATGAACAGCCCTCACTCATCTCATGATCAAAACATAACCAGCAATTATGGTCAGGGGAGAGATTTATCATTCCAGTAGGAGAAATGCATCCTGAACCTGGGACAGGGCAGTGAAGTATCCTTTAATATTCTTTGTGGGAAATAATGTGGGCTACTGCATCAACTCCACGGTTCACTCTAAACGACTAATTATTGGGAACACCCAAATGTGGAAGAAGTTCTCTCCTCCATCTATCTTACCCCTATTTTAATTAATTTCAAAATTGTTCTTGCTTTGCATATTCAAGGCTATGTTTAGGATTAGTAAATTAACCAACCATTACTTACTAATTTACCTCTCAAACTAGCTTGTTCATGCAAAGAAAGCTGCCCACTTCACTGATTGCTGCGCATTTTGTCATTTTACTCAGAAGCTCTTTTCTCTCTGAGTGAATTGCTTTGATAATAAAATTATCCCTGCATTAGATTTATCAATCTCTGCTGTTTATTATGCTCAGACTTGAGAAGTCTAGTCTTATGTGTCTTTCCCCCAGTGGCTACTGTAATTGGCATCTTTCTCTTTTTTCCTGTAGGAGTCAAATTATAAAATGAATAGAACCAAACATGAAAGACAAAATATTTGAATGCAATTAAAGAAATTAATACATTTATCTGCCAGATAATAGTGTTTCTCCATTACTTTGATCGAGTGAAGGATGGTGAGACTTTAATGCTACTCTGCTTTTTGTTCAGTTGTATTTTCAAATGACCAATTATATGTATGAAATCCTTGATTTCAGTAAAGTACTTTTTTGGAGATGGGAAGGGTTTGGGCCCTGCAAAAGAAAATAACTTTACGCTCTATTTCCCCCTCTCCCCTCCAGTGTTTTCTATGGTGTTTATTCCTAAGAAAAACTTAGTTTGTTATTCCTTATCTCACCTCCATGAACATTTCATTCTTTGTCCTGTATTCTCATAGGTTTCCATGCTGCTAATGCTGATATAAATTAAACCATGAAACAGAAGAATTGCCTAAATATCAGTGGAGCCAGGAAGGGCACTTAATGAACTATTCTCTAATTTAAACACAGCATGTCAAGCTGGCATTGTCCACCTCATCCATTCCCCCTTCCAAGGTTTGGACTTGGGCTTTTTTTAGGGAGAATGCAGGGACATGCTCTTTGCTGAACCTTGGGTTTATTTAATCTGAGGGTTCATCTGATAAAACACTGAAAGGACAGACATGGAGTCACCAATTTCATGATAACATTCCTTTAAAGGGTTTTGTTTCTGTTTTTATTTATTTACTAATAAGACTAAAACAAAACCCAACAAAACTGCTTCCTCCCTGCCATTCTATAAATACTTGTAAAATTCAGCTGGGAAATTACACCAGCTTTGCCTGGAGGAATACCTAAGCAAAATTTTAACAAACTGACAAACATGTGTGTGCCTTCCTCTGAGATTTTTCCAGTTAATTCATTGTTGAAAAAATAAAATCTGAATTTCAAAGTGAATCAGTCTAAGGTAACTGAGTTCTTTCATATCTATTGTTATATTATTAAATATCCAAGAGCTGTAGCTGATATTTGCTATGGACCTGTATATGAAACAGTCTAAGCTGAGATAAACAGCTGCTGTTTCCCAAGGGGTGTGCTGAACAAGAAAATGAAAATTTGAGTATTTTCACTATCACCAGGTTTCTGCCTTTTATCAGTATTTATCCTAAAACCATTGCCATACCTCATTATAAAACAATGTCTTTTCAGAGCTCTTTTGAACTATATGATCATGTAACATAAATAATCAACAAAATTACATTTGTATTGAGTGCATTATCTGTGAGCACATGGAGAAGAGTATAACACTAGCACTAGCTATTTCTGTGCTCTAGATAAACATAAGACAACACGAGATAGCAAGTTTGGGCTTGAAACAGAAACAACAATAGATCATAACATTTGCTTAAGTTACAGTCCTATGGGAGAACTCAACCTGGCATGCTCTTGGAATTATATTTCTGCCCTATTAATTTTACATCCAGCCTGCTAGGAAAGCAAGCGTGCCAGAAAATATAAAAGGCAAGATATCTGACTTCTCGTTGTATTGTTCCTCAAGTACTCATTTGCCTCCTTAATAACTGAGTGTGTGATGAATTGAGTTGATATGCCAGTGCTATGATATAGCTCCCATCCACTGTGCACAGATGGAAATTAATGTATGGGGTGCAAGAGAAAAGGAAAACAGACTCATAATAGCAAAGTGAAATTAACTTCCAAAAAGGTCTGAAACCAACTGCTGTAGTCCTGACAGGAAAATAAGATATGAAAGAGGAGATAGACACAAACCTATTTATCTACAAATCTGGAGGAACAATCCCTTCCCTGGGTATGCATGATACAAGCACAAGCTCCTCCTCCAAACTGTTTGGTTTACATAAAATAAAAGCCTTAACAAGTGTGGTGAAAGAGGGATTCATGCAAAAACAGCCAGTATCACAAAGTTATGACTTCTGATTTGTTGGCTTATCCTATGGAATCTCTTCTCCCTTCCTCAGCTCGATCTCAAAACCAGTTACAAAATTTTTACCATGGAAAGTTCCATCCATCAGCAGAAAATTTATCTCCCCACAAAAATGTTGGAGTCCAACAACTCAGCATTTCCTGAGGAAAAACTGCTTTGCTGAGCAAGCTGGAGAGGTTCACAGACAATTTAGGTGCACAAAGAGGGATTCCCTGAAGCACATAGGTGCTTTGTCCTTGAAGCACATTTCAGTGTGAGACACTTCCATGGGCTCCACTGAGCCCCTGTCAAGTCGAGAGGAGACAAGGCTGCTCAACATGTCACAAAAATAACCTTCACCTGTAAAGTCACTGTGAGTTATGGAGAGTTTTGCATTAAGTTACACAGGGTAATGTCTGTGGACACTTCAGAAAATGCGGTACACGATGGAACGTTGTTTATGCATTTTAAGGTCATATTGTGTAATACTTCTTTGGGCACAAACTGTATGGCAAAATGGTTAAGCAAGCTATAAAAATTGTACCTTTTACACTCAACACATTAACGCCCACTAGATCCCATAAATAATCTCAATATTAAAGCTCATTCCAATGGAAGTTTTCCTAAGATCTCTTTCAGTATGTTTTTTGACCTCCACTATCAACAACTTGTACGATAGACTTCATGACAGACATAAAAGTTATAGTGCATTTAAGATGACTGCAGATAAAATCTGATATTACCACAATCCCCTTCAGCATTTTTAACAAACTTTCAGAAAAAAAGCTTGGCAGACTGAGGTCTAGTTTAAATGTGAATTTAGGCACACGAGAACAGCAACTTACAGGTAGCCCTGATTTTCCCTTTTCTGAGTAAGTCTAACACAGAGGTGAAGCATGGATTTAGGAGCACGGGCATGGAATGTCAGGGAGCTCCTACCGTCATCGGCGTCGGTGACGCTGAAGTTGAGGATGGCAGACCCGGGCGGAAGGTTCTCCATCAGGGAGGTGCTGTAGGAGGCCATGCCAAACACGGGCGGGTTGTCGTTGACGTCCAGGATGTTGAAGTACACCCTGATGGCGGTGGACTGGCCGCCCCCATCCTCAGCACGCACGGTGAGGATGTAGTACTGCTGTGCTTCGTAGTCCAGGGCCCGGGTGAGGTTGAAGACCCCGGTGACGGGATTCAGGAAGAAGATTCCCTCCTCATCATCCTCGCTGATGGTGTATGTGATCTCCCCGTTGATGCCCGAGTCGTCGTCGGTGGCAAGGATGGCTGCCACCAAGGACCCTGCGTGGCACAACAGAGCCAGCTCAGCATCAAGCAGATCCACAGATGAGAGATGCCCTCCCAGAGAAACTGAAGCCTCAACACTGTCTGAATAACTATTGAAAAAGGTTTTCCAAGCTGAGAGAGACATCATATTCTTGCTTTTACTCAAAGAAATGGCCAGGAATGGTTTTTATCGTTATGCAGACTAGATATCAACAGGGGCAAAAATACCTTTTGTCCTGCTAGGCATTGCCTTAGTATGACTCAAAGGACCCTCCCTTTTCTGCAGACAATCACAAGTTCTGGAACCTTCCAGACGTTTCTTTCCAAATGCAGAACCCAATATGTGAGTACAAACCGCACAACCCAGCTCTGCTTTTTGAAACAGAGCCTTTGCAGGGTAACTGTGGTTAGAAAACTAGAAACCCTATAGGGGTCTGTTCTCCGCTGTTTTCTGAAATTCAACACCCTGTGAGTTGGTGCCAGTGTTTTCATTTCTGCATAGCTGACCTATCTGACTAGAGTTTGGAAATCAAGTGTCACTTTTTAGTATTTCGAACACTAATTATAAGTAAGATCAGCTCACTTCCAAGAAAAGAAATCATTAGGTTTCCTTTCCCTGGAACCAGATGAACTACATGCAGCACAGTTAACTACTTTCAAGCAACGGGATAATGAAAACTGCTTAAATCATCAGAAAAAAGAAGAGTGCTGTAACCCCCTTTAATCCAGCTGGATATGCTGATATCTTTCACATCCATTTGATGATCTCAAGCTTTAATGTTTCTTTAACTGCAAGGGGAATGGGAGTTACTCTCTGGGATAGAAAGTGGAACCTCAAAGGGGAAACCTCATGGTCCTTCCCCACTGGGTGAGCCTGCCAGCTGCTCCCAGACTTCTGGAGAGCAGAGCAGGAGAAGATGCAGTACTTTAATGCAAAATCAGCCTATTTGTTCCTTCAGCATCCATCACTGCTGAGCCGGGTATAAAGCACTAATATACGCCCTGTAAACAATTAATGAGAGAAATCTTATTTTAATGTGGAGGGAATTAGACTTGCCTTTTCCAGGGTTATTCCTGCTGAAACAGACTGTGACTCAAGGCTCTGAGAGAAAAGAGCATGGCTGGGGATCAGCAATCAAAGCACTCTGTGCTATACAGACATCTCAATTACTTCCAGATCACATTCCTGAGGCACAGCTGATTGCACTGTAATTCTTTAATGTGAAACACCACCAAATTTTGGGACACAGACTGTGGGGCAGAGTGCAAAAGTTGGAGGCTTGGGGGTAACCTTAGTTGAAGACTCCCACGCTTATAGAAACCCTAATAAAAGCTTGAAAGCTAAAACCAAACAATTTGCATCTCCTTGGTTTATTCATGTTTTAGAGTAAGTTTCTAACATGCTACTGGCAGATACTGCTTTTGTACTAGCAACCTGTATAAAATCTTGGAAGTAATACTCATTTCTCACCTGGAGACATGTAATAGAGCCCAGTACTTGAAAACCTTTTTTTGATCTAAATACTTTTTAGTTTACAACCTCCCTTTGAAGCACCAGAAAGCACTCTCGCATCCAAAACCAGCTTTAAACGAAGAAAACAACCGCGCGAGCATTTCCACTGTTTACCTGGAGCGGCATCTTCTGGGATGTCAAAGGAGTAGACAGGCTTGGAGAACTTGGGGATGTGGTCGTTGACGTCGCTGACGGTGATGTTGATCCTCACGTCCGAGGACTGCAGGCCGTCGTCGGCGCGCACCAGCAGCGAGTACTTGGAGCGGCGCTCGCGGTCCAGGCGCCGCGTGGCCACCAGCTCGCCCGACTCGGGGTCAATGTGGAAGCTGTCGTCTGCACCGCTGATGATGGTGTACGTCACCAGGGCATTGGCTCCCTAAGCCAGAACAGAAGTGGTCAGATCGCCTCGCTCGCCAGGAAAACCACATCATAACTCGCAGCGAGACGAGGATCGTTCCAGGAACCGTGCTCGGGGATTATTTTTCAGAATGGTTTCCTTTAATAAACAGCTTTCCTGCCCAGTCCCTGCTTCAGCCCCACATGCACACAGTTTTTATTTATGAGATGTGAAATGATGAGATTACCCAGATACTTTGTGCCCCACTCTTCAATCAATACCAAAAAACTCTGTTACCTGTTTTAGTTTGAAACCAGCATCACCGAGCAGCGTGACCTCTTAAAACAAGAATAAACATCGATCCTTATTATCTTGGAAGGTTAAATTAAATCCCTGCCAGTGGGATCAGCTCTGCCTTTCTTGCTGTCTGGAGATGGGATGGAGGGAGCAGGAGAGGGAGGAAGGGAGGCATGGAAGCCGGGGGATGCTTCCATATGGCAGCACTTCCAGCCACAGCTCATGGTCAGGAGAAACTCATGGAGGCTGTGCTTGCAGCAGCCCCTCAAAGGTCAGTTTCTGCATGGGAATCTTTTTACCCATGAAAATAAAAAAACCCCAGAGTGACAAATCACACATCATTAAAATCACAGTTCTGATCTCTTGGGTTGTGCTGCAAGTCAAAAGCATTTGCTTTTGGGTCACAAAATTTCATTTATTCTTGGGGGAAAAAAAAGAAGCATTCATGTGGACTTAGAGCATTTCGGTTGCAAGGAAAATTAAGGAAAAGTAATGTTATATAGAAAAATGTCATGTATTTCTTTTTGCAAGACAGGCTTAAGGACACTGAAGGTTTGGTAGCCTCTAACATCAGATACAGCACTCTAAACCCTGTGTGCTGATGGTGCCTGGAAATGCAAGCAGATATTTACTGTGCCCTCCTCTGGTGCCAGGCCAGAGCTCAGGTTTGACAGCTGAAACATGCTGCTGATGTGCCAGTAACATTCTGCAACGAACAGCAGATCAAAGGGATAAGGTGGAAAGGAATTCTAGGGCTGTTTCAAATGCTCCTGCCTAAAAAAGCAAATTAACAGGGATAAACACCTGCTTGTGTTTGTGAGAGGAGAGACAAGCATTAGTTACCTGACCTTACCAGAGTGCCCCATGCCAAACTTTCTCTCTGGGGCTCTCTTTCAAAGAGTCAGACTGAGCTAACTGATAAAAGGAAATTTAGAAAGAAAACAGGCTTCAGCAGGTGCAGTGCTCCATCTGCGTGCTCAGGTGTGCCTAGGGGATGCCACAGGCTTTCCTACAATTGTGTGGCTTGGCCACCACATCTCATGGGAATTTTCAGAGTGATCACATTCTTCACCTCATGTTTCACCAGCCAGAGTCCTCCTAACACAGTGCAGCTAAAGCCACAGCCATGTGTGATACTGGTTTATACTCTGCCCTCAATATAAACCCTCCCCCTTCAAAAGGCAAGGGGGAATAAAACGGGATCTCAGCCCAAAGCTGCACATCACTAGGAAAACTTGGGCTCCTTGTATAGAGTTGGAGTTACAAATGCTCTGGCAGGGAAACTGAAATCATTCCTTTTGATAAAAACACTGACTGATTTCTCTCTAAGGTAACAAATCACTTCCCACTGGATGCGGGAATGCGATTATTCAGAAGGGGTAATAGATATGGGAGAGTTCAGGAATGGTTAAAGAGGCTGGAACACTATTGCTATAACCTTAGATATATTTGCCATACCACACCACAGAGGGGTAGCTCAGTGTTTACCACTTCCTAAAAGAAAGACAAGCAGCTAGAATTTTTGTTACACAAGTGCACCTTTCCAAAATCCTGGGTTTTGTCTGTGTATCAGGCTGCTACTGGAAAACAAAGGGAAAACCAAAATATTTACAACATATTTGCACCATTCCCGGGGGTGTTCCCATGGCTCCCTCTCTAGTAGTAAGATTAAGTACACCAATTAACAATCACAGGAAGATTAACCAAGCTAACACAAAAAAGGCCAGCAATAAAAGTCTCCTAAGGAGGTTGAATCACCCTGTTATTGGAAAACAAGAACTGCTTGCTGTTGTCAAGTGTAACTCTGTATTTTAATGACAACACAAACTTTTTGTATGATTATATTGACTTTTTAGTCGTTCTCTTCATGGAAAGAAATAGTTTGAGCAAACAAAATTAACATGATTAACATTTTTATAACTTAAGTTTCTAAAATAAATGAATGCATCAACAGCATGGTAGTTTCTTCATAGCACCTTATTTGCAGCATTCTCATAATAATGACTCTCAGAGGGCAAAACTCTTTTGCAAACAAATTCATGTACAGAGCACACATTTTACCATTATTTCTTTTCTCCACTTTTTGGTAAAATAAAAACCTTCTTTTGGAAGGATAATATTGGTCTTTGTTAGGTCTAGTCAAAGGGCAAGCAGGCATTATCACAGTTTTACTTGTTCTCCAAGGCTTGTCTCAGATTAATTTTATTGCACGCCTTGGAACTGGGCTCAACTACAACATCTCGGTTCCAAAGTTAGCTTAGAGCTCCACAGTACTGGACAGAACTTTGTGAATGACTGCCATGATTCCTATGGCCAAACTCACACAAAGGGATGAAGAAAAGAGGTAAGATCATGTCCAGAATAGCACTTTTAGCACCAACATTCAAAACTGAAATCCTGCTCCTACCTCATCAGCATCCATGGCTGTTAGCTGCAGGATTTTAGATCCATCCCCTATGTTCTCCTCTACAGTCAGGTCAAGCATGTCTGTGGGGAATACTGGTGGGTTGTCATTGATATCCTGAAGTGTTATTTCCACCTGTAAAAAAGAAGGAATAGGAAAAAACTGGAATGAGCACTGGACATGGATTGAACCTGAACGTTACTAATAAAATAATTCTGAAAGAAATCAGGTAAATTGCTCTTAATCACATGAATTAGCACATTCCCAAATCACACCAACAAGAGGAAAAGCTCGTCCGGATATTAAAATTCCACATTGTCATAAAATACTCCTAGGAAAACCTCTAACACAAATAAAGTTAATTTGACTTGTTGATAGCAACTGATTTTAAATGGTCCTAGCCTAGTTTATACTGGAAGAGATCCACTGATAGACTGTCATTGTAATCCTCAAAGTCGGCCCCTGGAGAGGAACTGCCAAGTGCCGGGGCAGGAGATCGTTCAACCATTAAATGCTGCCTGACATAAAGATGAGGTGGTGTAAAATTCTCTCTGAAATGTTTATGTATTGGCAACTCTCCGTTCTGAGAGGGGGAAAAAACACCCTTGCACTTAATATATTTTATAGCAAATAATCTGCTTTTCTCTCTCTCTCTCAAAACTTCCCTCTAATTGCAAACATAAACGTTGCTTTAGGAGCACCCACTAGCATCTACTCTCCTTGACTATCCAAAACCCAACAAATGTTCTCTTCACGTGCCATATTTGTATGCCTTTCCAAGGAAGAATGACAGTTCCTGAAAGGTTGTTTTGTGATCTTTATCCCTAGTTTTTCATAAGCAAGATTGTTGCCCTGCTGATGCTAATCCAAAAAGATGCAGAGCTACATTTTCTCTTGTTGCTGGGTCTGGAATGTAATATTCCAAAATAGAAAAAGAAGACACAGCTGTTTTACATTTATCATGGAAAAAAAAAAGTATGCTTTTGGACCCAAAATAATAAACAGTCACCAAACTCTGAAGACCCTACTGAGGAGAAACTGAGTAGCTGAAAGTACTAAGGAACACAGCAAGGCAAAGATATGGATGACTTAAAGAAGGTACCTGGACTGACAGACAAAATCTTATTTATGCTACAGTATCTGCTATGCCCTTATCCACAAGGACTCTCCAGGCATTCAGCTGAAAATATGGATTGGGCTACTCTGGATAATAACCAACACAGGCATTTCTGGTGATCCAAAGTCTGTAATTTCTGCTGTCTCTAGTCCCCTGTCATAACATTTTCTTCTCTGTTCTGTCTTCATAGGGAGCACCAATTGCCAAACTGTTTTGACTTGATCACCAGGATGATCCCAAACACAGAGGAAATATTATATTAATATTAGTGTAACATTAATATAATAGCTATATGTGCTGGAAGTGGAGACAGAACAAGGGTCTTTTACTGAAGGCTGTAATTTATTTATCCCCTATTCCTTTGGACACTCAAAAATGGTACAGGAAGCAATTCACAGCCTGAGACAGATCAACCCAGAAGGTTTTGTTGTTAAATTTACATCCCTGACAGCAGAAACACAAGGAGTGCTGAGCAGAGCATCACAAGCAGCGACTGACAACCAGCTGACCAGACACAAACTTTGGGAGAAGAAGCCAGCCTAGGTTGGTTCTCAAGGAGACTGGGTGACAATCAATCATAGAAACGGGAGAGATGTGGTAGAAATGACAGATGAAGGATTTTTGCCAGCCCTCCTTGCCCATGGAATGGCACAGCACACTCCTCTTCTCTCCTCCCCAAGGTGCAGCATTTCCCCAGACAGGGCTTCAAGGTAAAGCAGCTGCACAGCTCTGCAATTCATCCATTCCTACCATACATGTCATTCACAGCTCATGTTTCAGCTGCAAGTGACATTTCACCACCAGAACCCATTTTCACGATGAGAAATTGCCCTTTGTACAAATGATGTGAAAAATATGTGACAGCTTCTGGGGGGTTTGGGGTAGGAGCTGTGCATTGCCTACAGCTTGAATAATGTGAAATAGCGAGGATCCAAGAACACAGATGGCCAAGGGTTGGGGGACAAATAAGTTAATTATAAAGTCACATTCCAGGGAAGTGTAAAAAAGAAGAATAAAAGAGGTAATTTTATTCTGAAAAATCAGTTTACAAGCAAACAAAGAAACTGTATTTTATATCAAAGATGTGCTTTAGATGGTGGAAAAATAAGAAATTCTCAAATAAGGATCAGATTTTTTTTGGAAAAGAATACAACATTTTTAAAGAGCATTTACACCATGATTTATTACTTATCCAAAAGGCTTAGATAATGTGTATTGCTTCATAATTCACCATTGGCTAAGTCCAATTAGCACCTGTGTCTAAAGCTATCTTTTTACTTCTGCTAGAATTTAGTACTTCAGCTTCCAAACAGAACTGTAGACCTGGGGAGTCAGATCCTTGGATGCAACCATTGGCAGAAATTTCACTGAAATAATCACAGAATCACATAATGGTGTGGGCTGGAAGGGAACTAAAAGATGCTGCAGTTCCACCCACCCTGCCAGGGATGAGGATGCCACTCACTAGACCAGGTTCCTCAGGGCTCATCCAGACTGGTCTAAGACATCTATGAAAAAAGATTTGAGAAAAAAAAATCACATTTTCCCTAAAACAAGAATCTGTTATATTCCATTTAAGAGAGGATCTCATACGTCCTGAATGAGATGGGATGTAAACTGAATATCCAGGAGCTCACGAATTAATTTCACTTTGAGAAATTAATTTGTGAGAAGAAGAAGAACCACAACCACAAAGTCTTGCATTGCCACGGGGCACTGGAAGATTGCAGAGTATCTTATCACACCTTTACTGGAGAAGAAAAAGAGAAAACTCCACAAAGCTTTGAGTAAAGATCTAAACTAAACCTTTTCCCAACCAACAGCTTCTTTCTAATCCCACTTCACATTTGCATAAAGGAATCAATGCGTGTCACCACCCACCAGTGACAGCAGTGAGTACAAGAGCAAATATCCAGGAAACCAAAGGCCTTGTAACCTCAAATACACCACAGGATGGAGCACAAGGAGCTGAAGGGATTTATCCAAACCTTGGAAGGAAGGAAGGAACCATTACATGCCAGTAGGATTGCAGGAAGCAACGTGCCCAGGCTACGTGGAAAGTGATAATTGCCACCTCCTTGTCCAAACCTACCTAAAATGAGGAATATTCTTGCCTGACCTCAAACTCATCACTCGGCACAAATCTAGGATGCAAAGGCAGACACAGACCAAGCACCTCACAGCACTCCAAGTACTGCACACGCAGCAACAATTTCTGCCACTTTCTATCTGACAAATCCTCAATTCTATTTGTATCAACAGCAACTTCAATACAGGACCAAAAGTTCTTACTGCCACTCAGAGGACTCAAATATAATAAAACACAGAAACAACAAAGATAGTTAAGCATCTTTGCACCTTTTTTATTCTCTAACCTGCCCTCTCCTATGGTCCAGGCACTGATGGACAGGGGCTTTGCTCCTCTGAAGAGCCTTGAGTTTCTGCAGAAGCCATGAGAGCACAAATAGTTACAGATTCTCCTAAATATATTAAGACTGTGATGGAAAACTGATAAATAGATTCATTATATTGTCTTGCTTGTGTTGTTCAAGGGAAAATGAAAAAAAAAAAAAAACAGAAAACTTTGGTCAATCCACATGCATACATCTCCACAAAATCACTCTACTTTTGTACAAATTCTAGTACAGTGCTTTTCCTTCACATTTAATACATGTAGAAAGAAAGACTGAAGATCAAAGCTTTCCCTCAGAGCTTATTCTTCAGACAATAACACATTGTTTATTTACCAACCCTTGTAAAATAAACACAATAATTTTACATATCAATTCCTATGCAAACCATCTTTGTGTGGGGTATTTTTTATTAGTTTTATTTGTGTGCTTGTTTTATGTTTGACTCAAGCTAGGATGCAAAAACAGAGGCATACAACAAACCACAGAGATCTGCAATATAGAAAGCCAAACAATACCACAAATTTCCCTGTGCATGAATCAAATTTCTCCTTCACAGGCTTAATAACATTCTCACAATATCTCCCTGCCCCTGCCACAGTTACAGATGGCCAGCCCATCCTCATCTGTGACAATTTGATTGCTGCAGCCTGTTGTCACAGACATTTTAAAAGCAGAGGAAGTATTAATTGCCTTGATCTTGTTAGGATTCTTATTTGCTGTTCAAATTAGCCTCTTGTGTTTTTGGGTTTTTTTTCTCCCTAAACAAATTCAGAACAGATTGAGGCAGGGCAGCACTCACCTCAAAAACAGTTCTGCTACAATTTACTCTGAATGTAGATGTCAGAAAAATAGTTCTTTCTCCATTCAGATAAATCTCAGCTGTTAAAAGATATAGGAATCATATCAAAACCTCAAATTTTAAAGCACACTGGTCTAATAAAGCATTTAAGACAAACTATTCTTCAGCTTATTCAAAGTAATTTGTTGAATTAAGCTGCTAAAAGATGAAGTTTCACTTCTCAGAGCAGAAAAACCAATTTCACTTCAAAAATACCAGTACCCCAGGTAACTATTACTGAACAGGCTAGACAAGTTCCATGCTCAACATGAAAAGCTTAAAATGAGAGTTTTATTCTGGAAAAAGAAATTATTTTAGTGGCGGGGTTTATGAGCTACAAAGGTATGTAAAATAAAACATACCCTGCAAGGCAACGTGCCAAGTTCTAACCAATCATAACACCTTCCACAAACCAATGGGTTCACCTGGCCAGACCCTATCCTTCTGTTTTACTGCAGTCATTAACATTTATTCCAAACTCAGGAGGGTTTACAGACAGGACAGCTCTCTGAAGTTCTTCCACCTATCAAATGACAACGAGAAGAGGAAAGGAGATGACACAGGAGACATGAATGAGCTCACGTGGCAGCAGCAAGTTTCCCTGGGAGTCCCACAGAGCAATTCCTGCTTGGAGCCACGCTACCTATGGCACACAGTGGGTCAGAGATGTGTAGATAGAACAAGAGCTGAGGAGGGAGCAACTCCCAGGTGCCTCACGCCTTCCTTGCCTCTTCAAAAGCTGCAGCTATTTGATCAAGGATCAGAC